CGTATCATTATACTTAATTAATTCATTAATGTGCACTAAAATTCCAACTCTACTCCATATAATACTACACACAGCTAAGCCGATATTCCATGGTTCTACTATTACTCTGTGCTAAAGATAAGTTTTAGTTCTATGTTGTAATATAAGAATAACTAAATATATGTTCATATATACATATGCAGATACGCAGGCATATTTCTAATTAAACTCGAGTATGCATGACCTAATTCTAAGCTTTTATCTCGTTTCAAATCTACCAAAGGCGTGGAGCCAAGTAAAAAGCCTTGTTCAGCCGTTTGCAATGCGAAGAAGAAAAAAATATCAAATTAAATTAATTATGTTATATAATATTTAATTGAGGAAATGAGTGGCTCTAAACGTTTTTGTTTAATTTTGCTTCTGGTTAAGAATTTCAGTAGCAGCTAATGAATTTTCATGGTTTAAGGTGTACAAAAGCCATAAAAATAATTCACTCTGCATATTAAACCAGTCTGTGGAATGTTGCAAATATATGTTGCATCAAAATCAATAATATGCTCCTTAAGTCATTACGTGAAACGGTAACAAATATTAAAAAAAATATTTGAAATTAACAAAACTACACCGTCAATGTGCCTTCGAGGCTGAGTTGAGTTCTTGTAAGACAAAAAAAAGGAACCCGCTCACAATTAAGGCATTTTTATTTCTATAAAAATATGTAAAGCCCGATATATTTATATTCCCTCTTATAATTACTTGACGTTTGTATCGTTTTGCAATTGAGGAAGTAATAGTCAAAAGAAACGTTTCTCGCTCCGGGTGGAACTCAATTAACGGTTCAGTCTCCTTCCGCTGTTAGGCAACAAACATTCATTGGCTTATAGGTGAATAAGAGTGTGGATACGAGCTTCTTAGAGTCTGTTTCAATGAACATTTAGATAAGACCATTTAATTTTCAATTCCACCATTAAACTAAAAACCCATCATATCTATCATCTATCTACCCTCCAGTAGAGAGAAAAGCAGACCGACCGCTGACAATTTTTTTGTATTTTTTTTCAATTGTATTTCCTCGGCCTAGAAAGAAGCACAGTGTCGAAGTTAGTTTGACGAATTCCGTTCAGGAGATTTTTCACTCACAGATTAACCTCGCTCAAATCGGCCAATAAATTTGTTAATGACGATGTCAAGGCTTTAATCGAATCGGATCGTCATGTAACCGGGCCTGAGATTAGAGAGACGTTGAAAATACCACAATCAACTGTTCATAACCATTTACACGTCTTGGATTGGTAAAAAAGCTTGATATTTGGATACCACATGATTTGAAATAAATGCATTTAAGACGCCGCTTCAAAGCTGTGGTAGGCATCTTAAACGCAATGAATATGATCCGCTTTTGAAGAAAATCACAAATGAAGATTAAAAATGGCAAACATTGCGATCATGGTACAAGCCTCATGAAGCGCCATAAACCGCTTCAAAGGTTGATATTCACCAAAAGAAGATTATGCTATTAGCTTGGTGAGATGGTGAGAGGGTGTGGTATATTTTGAGCTGCTTCCAAGGAACCAAAAAGATTAATTCGAATATCTACTGTGAGCAATGGAAAAAATTCCATTCATCCATCAACGAGAAGCGGCCAGAATTGGTCAATCGTAAAGGTATCATATTCAACCAGGGCAATGCTAGACAGCACACATCTTTGGTTACTTGTCAAAAACTGAGAGAGATTGGCTCGGAACTGTTGATGCATGCACCGCATAGCCCTGACCTTGCGCCGTTGGACTACCATTTGCATGGACCTTTGCGGAACGCTTTAAATGATAAAACTTTCGAAAATGACGAGGCTATAAAATCGCGCTTGATTCCGTGTTCTACAGATAAAGCCCGGAATTTCTTTGAGCATGAAATGACGTGACGTGAAAATCATAAAAAATGTTTTTACATTCTTTTAAAAAATCGTCTTTTTCTTTTCCAGCAACCTAAATACGTGTAGTTTTAATCTGTAAAATCAAAAAGCATATAATTGTAAGTATGTAAACTTATAACCCTATTGAACAATTACGAAATCATAAAATCGACGCAAAACAAGCAAATTAACAGCGTCATTATCAATTTGCCAGAAGGCGTGCTTGTAGTACTAATTGTAATGGGAACAGGAACAACCTCACTCAACGTGGCTGCCGTTATGCCAATAGCAATGTCACAAACAAGTATGTACTCGTATATACATACAGACACATGGTTGCAAACAACAACTTGTTGCAGCAGCCGTAATCATGTTGCACATGAGGAGCCAGATATTAAAAACCAGTGAACGACATGCATAGATAAATGCTTGAGTAAGGTTAACAGTGCTTGCGGCCAGATTACATATACTTACTACACACAAAATGCGCCATATAAGCATTATCTATTTAAGTGTGGCACATTCAAACCCCTTCCATTCATTTTTGAACGTGCATTGCATGTGCCCCCCACACATAAACCACTAAAGTTTATTATGCCCACAAATCTGGTGTTACCGACAGCATTTAGCACCCGAACGCAGCCCTCAATGCATTAGAGGCACATATACATATAGATATGTACATGCACTGATTCTTCTATACAAAACTCACCAAAAATCCAAAATTAGAAAAAAAGCATTCAATGGCATAGCAAACGAAATGAATGGGCACGAAATGAAATGGCACGAGTAAAGTGTCATGATCCGCTCAACTATGCCACTTAACAATGCGATTCTTGCAGCAGCAGAAACAGCAGCAACAGCAGCAGCAGCAGCAACAGCAACAATGGCAAGTGCGTTCAGTAAAAAACATTGTTGGTCATGTTGCTATAAATAGTTGTAGTAACAACTACTCATGCAATCTACGCATTGCAATCTAGTTTCAAGACAACAAAACCAACAACAACAGTGGAATATAAAGCAGTTAAAGCGCCAGAAAAGTTAGCAACGCCACTGCAATGAACTTAGCAACTAAACTTGTACAAGTCACGAAGTACTAATTCTCCGATGCACCTCTTCTTCATACATATATATAAATGTATGTGCGTATTTTTAAATGTGTGCTTGTGTGTGCATTTTTGGTCAACGTGCTGCACAACTCCATAGAGAGGGGCAACTTAAAATCATAAAATTTGAAAATTAATGTTGTGCGTGATTGCTCTGCTCTCTATTCTCGTTGCTGCACAAACACCCGAATGGCTAGGGAGGCGCAACTGAGTGCTGCAGCCGCCGGCTAGGGAGAGCGGAGTCTACATACAATATACAGTCAAGTATAATTTTATTTAAATAACAAGCGTTTTAATAAAATTCTCTTGCGTATATGTACATGGCATTCATTGGATGCGTATGTATATATGTATGTGTGTTCACAAGCAATAAAACGTTTTACAGGAAATTGTTGGAAGATTTGTAAAATTTTAAAAGCTTATAATCATAAAGTTGTTAATTAATTGCATTTATGGGATTTAAATTGTATGGGTTTCTTTTTCAACTTTGCTACTTTGAGTGCGGTGAAATTATGTGTTGCATTGGACAAAGAGAAGGAAAAGGAGGAAATTTTCAATAAAAAAGGGGATTAGAAAGTGTTTAGTAATTTTAAGATAATAACGTTAATTTGATCTTCTAGTAATTTTATTTAGTCACACACATACTACTGTGGTCAGAAAGTAAGGTTAATTTGTAAAATAAGAAATCCTTATTTATTTTTCTGAATCGATTTCGTCACCTTCAAAATTGTCCCCTGCGGATGCAGTGCACTTATGAGAACGCTTTTTTCAATTATCGAAGCATGTCAAATAGTCACATTCTGGTATGGCCTTCAGAAAGCGCGCTGGTTCAAATTAATCTCCTCAATTGACTCAAAACGGTGTCCTCAAAGTGTTTTCTTGAGTTTTTGGAAGAGCCAGAAGTCATATGGTGCTAAGTCCGGCGAATACGGTGGTTGGGGAACGATATTCGTGGAGTTTTTAGCGAAATGGTCACGTAGAATGAGTGTGGTGTGTGACGGTACATTATCGTGATGAAAAACCAAGAACTTTTATTAAGAATGAAATTTCATAAATTAGAAATGATCAAGAAAGGGTTAAGAACTTCGACTCGGGTGAAAGAGCTCTGCTTGTTATTTTTTTTATTTTTTTTCTTGTTTTGTTTGTTTTTCAATAGGTTGGTAGTACTTCAAGGTTGGTTTAATGCTAAAAACCTATGCAGATATTTCTCTTGTTGGGAAATATTTTTTTTTATTTTTCTTTCCAACCTTAGTAGTATACAGTTAGCTTTTTAAGTTGGAAAATCAAATTATTTTTCCATGGAACTCTTAAATTTTAGATGTACTACTGTGCACATTGAGAGGAACAAATTAATAGTTGCGACATCATAATCATTATTTTAAGAATTCATTTGAAAATTTTAACTTTAAACCAAAGAAAATTCTGACTTATCCCCAAATAGGTTTCAAAGAATTGCTAAGCAATTTATGATTCTTTAAATAATAAAGTCAAATACAATTTCCACCAATCAAATTATTAAAAATATATGTTTTTATTCCCTCTCTCCTCTCTGCAACACTGTTGTTTCTTAAGCTTTACTACGTAAAATCCCACTCATTGTCAATTTTAACGGGCATTAGCCAAGCAATTATTCACATTTTTTTTCTCAATTTTTTCCAAGCTGCAGTTACAAATTTGCTGTCGTCTTCCTCAACATTTTTACACTTCACTGTAAATGTGCTATTAAATATAAATTATCAAAAAAAAAAATATATATATATGGAAGAAAAGAAGTTAAAAAGAGTATTCGAACGCATTTAACACCACGTACAGTGAGTGTGTGAAAAAAGCGTACAGCAAAAAAAAAAAAAAAGAAAAAAACAGAAAAAAATTGTGTAATGCATAAAAGCAGCGACGAGAATTAATATGACATCATATACATATACAACAATAAATAAAGAAATTACATACTTAAATGTACATAAATACATATGTATGTACACGTACGAAAATGTGCAACTTACATCCAAGTTGGTACGCCTTGCAAGCCAACACAGCCATCCAAAACGCCAGCCACGAGTACAAATGTCGTTATAATCCACAATGAAAAATGTTTCCTTTTAAGAAATTCCATTTTGACCATTTTAGAGTCACACTCGTAGTCAGAGTTAAGGTCGAGACGATGCGAGAGATGAAGTTGACGCCAGCAGCGACAACGACAGCGACAGCAACTGTAACAGCGACTGTGACCGTCGTCAGACGAAGACTTCTTTGATATTGAAGGAAGTTGTCGACGTAGTCAGCGGCAAATGCTGCTCATTAAGTTCACTGAAGCTGCGTGAATAAATGCGCGATTTGCAGCGATGCGGAGTTCTTTTTACTGCTGAAGCTTTTGTTGGTTGTGGAGTTGTGGTGCTTGTTGAGGGAACTCTGAAGAAAAAACGGCGGCTGGCGGGTTGTGCTGATTACCAATTTTTCGATTTTATTCCTTTATGCGCTAGCTGTGGGTTTTACTTTTGGTTTTATGAATAAACAATTTTTTATTTATTTTCTTCTTTTTTTTTGTATTTTAACATTGCAGCTCACCGTTGTACATATATGCGCATGTTTTATAGGATTTACGTAATTTTTATATACGCACTTTTCACTCACATTAATATTATTCCCCGTTTCCTCAACTCAACATTTCACTGTTAATGGGATTTGTGAATTTTCCTTTGATTTAACTTTTTTCATAATTTATATTTATTTATTTGAGATTAATTTTTTGGTTTTTTTTTCAACAATTTCATTTCCTTTTCCTCTGTATTTATTTTTTAAATAAATTGCCTTGCCTGAAATTACAGAAAAAACACAAAAACATACATATATTTCCTATTATTAATAACATTTTAGGTTGCTCGTTTAGCACACCGAAAATATTTATATCCGTTTCCGGTCAACTCGCAGCAGCGTACGCATTTACGCACCGCGTCTCTCCGTCAACGCATTATTACTTCTTCATTTGGCTATTAATCACTCGTTCACGTGAATTCTCTGTATTATCCAACTCATGCCGGCCTACCTGCCACGCACTCTCACTCAACAATACTATACTCTCCAATATAAATGAGAAGTTTTTCACTCCCTTTTTATTTACTACTTTTTCACTTGCACAACTTATTCCTTCATCTTTACGTGACTTTTGAGTTACACAGCCTCGGCAGCGGCAATAGCAAAGCACTGGCATTTGTCGGTTATATTTTTCTCGTACAATTTTTCATCATTTCTTGACACTAATGACATTTTATTATGGTTGTATAGCGGCGTTCAAAGAAATTCTACAAAGAAATCACATTAAACAGAGAACGCAATTTCTTCAGAGCGACAGTGTGCGGAGATGTTGTTGCCTTCGAGCGCGCAGTCCGTAAATACACACACACACAAATAATGAACCAAATGTACAGATTTGATTTTATAATATTTTTGTAGCTATAGTTAATTAAAATATCATCAAACGCAACGCTGACAGATTTTTTTTCTGCAATATTTCACTTGCTCTTTTTTTCACTACACAACTTTGTGTTATGCTCTTCTCTCTCTTCTCACTTGCAGTCGGCGCATACTTTTTCCTTCAAATTTCCATTTAAATTCTCGTAAATCCTTCAGTAAGGAACAATGCAGTTTTTCAAAATCTGGAAAAAAAGAGCAAGAGAAGAATTTTGATTAATTAATTGTGCTTATGTGTGATTTCTTAGGGAAAATGTATAAAAAAGTTGTTTGGAAGTTTTGAGTGCATAAATGCAACGCTATACGAGAGTAATCTTTGAAAGTAGCATATAAGAAAAAAATTACAAAAAAATATGTAATGAATATATATAATATTAAAATTAAAATAAAAATGAAGAAAAATTTAAATTTATTTATTACTTGAAACTTTACAATTCAGTAGAGTTTCCCAAAATAATAAAATACAATTTTGGTTAATTAAAAATAATGAAAATCAAAAGTGGAATAAACGTTTAATAAATGTCACATCTTTCACGAAGCTCCCAGATCCAACCTTACGGGTATGGGCACACATAGTGGGAAGAAATGAAAACTGTATATTAAATCGGGCGAAAAGTATAATTGCGTTATAATCGAGAGCATAATGAATCCACTCTTTGGCTTAGGTGCGGCCGCTTTAAGTCAGGTTCTCAACTTCCCTTTTCAACGAATTAACAACTTATCTACCTTAGAAATTCATTGCCAAGGGACCACCGCAATGAGAAAAATTAACTTTATTTTATATTTAAATTAATTTTTTTTTAACTTTTGGATGTCGGTCGCATCAGAACCCGAACCGCGCCTTTCGAGTGGCAGTACGCAATGCTAACCAATTTAAATAAATAAATTTATGTCTATCTGTTCTGGAGGAGACCACACGTTTTTCACTCTCCGTTGTCGACTCATACTCGCAAACTTCTTCGGCTTTTAGTTAGTTTAGTTTAGCTAGCGATTCCGTGGTTACAAGGCATTCGACAAAGACAAAAAAGAAACCCCCTAACAGCAAGAGGACCCAAACTAAAACATAGAGTAGCCATTTCAAGAGTTGAAAATTTTAATATTAAGAGATTTTTGTAAATATAAGAGTAATATCTGAATCCACTCACGTAGTTCATCTTATATTTCTTCAAATTTTTTATATTAAATACTCAAAAATTGTGAGATACTCTATAAAATATTAAGCTAGGCTATAGCATAACCAGTAGGAAAAAGACGTAGAGCAGAGAGCAGAGGTTAACAACATTTCTTTAGTCCATTTGTAATGCACAAACATATTTCTTTGAAAAGGAGCATCGAAACGGCTATTCTAACTCCGTCCGTTCACTAGAGATGTGGTTGCCACAGATCGTCGGTTTTTGAAAGGCCGACAATGGGATCGTTGAAAAGATATGATGTCTCAATAGGCTGAAGTCCGCAAAATGTTTATTCATCTTCTATGTATGATTTTTACTTAGCGGATTCCACTTTACCTACTTTGTGGCAGATGCCCCGTGAGCACACCTACAAGAATAGCGAGTACTCTTTTGCTTAATGCAAGCAACAGTTAGTTTTGGTTTAGTGGCGGTTCAAAGATTATGTTTCCAATTGTTATTGTTCGACCAGTAGGGTATACAGCTGACCACAATCCATATCAAACGGAAGCTCTTCAACAGATCGCAGCGTTGCGTGCACTCTCCAGCGAAAGAGCCGGAGGTTGTGGGCAAAATTGTTTACTATGAGCACTGCGAAAACACTTAAGAGCGCTACTTGCGACACGATGTTATCAGGTATTTTTGGCACAAGAGTAGGAAAATTCAACATCGCTAAATAGTTTAAGGCTGGTAGACAATGTCGAGACACGAAACATGTTCATCAGTAATACCAAATTCGAGCTCAAAAGTCCATGAAGCCACTTGGCTGTCATGCTTTCTAAAGTCACAAAGCTAAGTCGATCATGTTGTGATAGACGGATGATATTGTATGTTTCCAGTGTCTTAGGTGTGTGTATTTTCAGAGTTCCTACAATGAACTTGTATCACTATTTTTTTTTTTTGTTTCAGCAAATGCAAGCAAAAATAGTTTACCAATTCATTTGCACATCTGCTCGCTGAGAACACTCTAAAATTAGTTTGCATATCTTAAGTATAAACTAAAAAATTAGAGCCAGAGTTTCAACTCCTTCGGAATTCGTTCACTTTCAGACATCGGAAAGAGAATTAATGAAACCACTTTCAGCTCTAAAGTCCTCGCGAAAAACCAACAGTATGTCAATACTGAATATTTTAATATGTGCTCAAGTTGTTCAACTCAAATCCACTTGAATTATTAAAATAAAAACTCTTAACTGCTTTTTGATCTCGCACATGAGTTGGTGCAAATATTTAAAGACACAAGCAATTTGGTAACAAAAATATTTTTGCAATCGAACAACACCACTCAAATCAAAGTTTCATGTATGAAAAGCCAAAAACACCAAACAAGAAAAACTCCAAAAACACAAAAACAACAATACAAATGACTACTCACTGCTCGGCTAGCATTATCAATTCACATTTATATGAAAGTTTATCATATTCACCCACAACAACGACACAAACACACTCACCGATATTCACATGTATGTACATATGTTTGTGTATATGTACATATATACACAACGCCAAGCTGTTGCAGGAATAGCATTCGGACGGTCACGCTTGCACAGTAAATCAATGAAATTGCACACATCAAAGTCATTTGGAACGAAAGCGAAAGCCAGCAAAAAGTAATAAACCAAAACACAGCAACAAAAATAGTCATCATTACAATAACAAACAAATAAAAATTGTAAAATCGTAAAATTGTAAAATTTTTGGCTTGCATTTCAACATTGTAGTATATGATATGGGCAATCACGTCTCCGCTCGTCCTTCTTGGCCACTTTTAAATGCGCCCCCATTGGCACGCCGACACACACACACACATCCACACGAACAATCAAGTGAGCTACCTTTGTTTGAATCGAACTCATCCATACATACACGTATGTATATACCGCAGAGACCATTTAAATTGTCACTGGGGCTTACTCATACATACACCTACACATACTAGTAACTGAATGGGCAGCCAGTTCGCAGACACGCATACACATCTCCCTGCCTTGTTTGTTCCCACTTTTTCGCCCACTACTGACTTGCTACGTCTCACACTGCATGTGGCAGAAAGTCAAAGAGTTATGAGCATGTTCATAAATTAAATGACTTCCTCTCGCCAGCGCAGCCCTTGCCACGGCCCATGCGCCGCATGCTGCCGAAAGAAGTCTTGTGAGTTGCAACTTGCACACCTCAAATGGCACTTGCAACTACTTCCTGTATATCTGCCACATATATATATGAGTTCAGACATCATCATTCACACATATGAGCCGTCTGCAAGCTGCCGCCGGAGCTCCAGTAAATAGAAGTATTGCAAGTATTACGGACTCGTATGTACTCATATGTACATACATACATTACTTCTTTTCAAGTTACTCCTTTATTATTGCCGAGATTGCTGTTTGCTCTTACAGTAACATTGCTCTTGTTCTTCTATTATTGCAGTTGTTGTTGTTGTTGTTGCTCTACTTGGTGGTCAGTGTATAATATTTTATGATATCATTGGGATTTTCACTTCACATGCATACTCATGCATACCAACAAACAAACAAACAAACAGCCATTGCAATAGTAATAATAATCGCAGCCAATGCAATGGCATTCGACTGTACGATTGTAGGTGAGTACGTCCACAGTATTTTATACAGACCGCAGGCAGTTGATTTCGGGTCAGGACTAGTTTACAATCAATTTTCGGAAACGAAAAATTAGATAGAACAGGACTCAGACATCGGAAAGGATATGACGTCTTAATCGTCTGAAGACCGAACGCTCAGAATAGTGGTACCACAGCAAATACCGCGAGTCCGAATTTTATACGTATATATAAATATATATATATTACATATAATTGGCACTTGGTAACTACTGAAGCGATTTCGACCAAGCTCCTCCTCCACTTGGTGGGACCTACAGTTTATACAAGCCGCCTCCGAAAGGCTGATGACTTTTTTATGAGGAGCTTTTCATTTTCTTGTCAGAAATACACTCCGAGGGGTTGACATTCCCTGCCGAAGGGCGACCAAAATTACAAATTTTAACTTAATTTTTATTTAATTTCAGCTGTAGTCAAAGCAAAAATTTAAAGGCACTCAAAAGTCTGATGAAAAAAATTAT